TTCTCAGGAAGAGAGGGAACAGAAAGGCCAAGTCCCGCCGCAGTAATGAAAATTTGGCCTTACTAAGAAGCCCAAGCTGCACGGTTATTTTTCACAAATATTAATACCTTCTCTAATGGCAATATCACAGGCAAACACCATCAGTGTGCCCATTTAGAACACAACAAATGTGACAACCACCCACAGTGTGGCTTTATGATGGCATTTTTCACCAGCAAGTGTTTCACTTTGTGAGGTGGCTCCTGAATACTTCGGTCTTAAGTGAAGCTTTTCAATAATAGCAGCTCCGTCTTTGTTCCTGGTACCTTGGTCCTTGAACCACAGAGGCTTGTTTTGTCCAGTGAAAATAGGAATTATTCTTTGTTATATCTTATAATTAATAATAAATATGTTTTTCCTCTGCTGTCAACTCTAGAGCAGCAGGAAAACTTTTGAAGCAGAGGATTATCTCCCAGAAGCACAGAAAAAAAAAGGCATTTTAAAAATGCTGAAAAATTTTGGCAGAGGCACATTTTTATTATTCATTATTTCAACCTGTTGTCCTACAAAGGCATAGTTCAGCATGATTAAGCCTATGGTGCTACACAGCTCCTGTGTTTTGCTTTCCTTCTGAACAACTCTCAAAAGCTTGGCTCTATACTAAGGTAAGTATGGTGTGAGGTTGCAGGTTAGATATCCTACAGTTTGCCCTAAACACCAGTTAACCTTCTTAGAGTGGTTATGTTTCCTCAGAAACCAAAAGCTTCGGACCAGAAAGCAACCACAAGTGGTTTTTCTTCAGAACTATTTTGTTTCCAGTTCTTTAATTTCATTAATAACTGTCCAGACTAGGTGTAGGGCAAAGATTGTGCAGGAAGCCTTGCTATACTGAACTTATCCACAATAAACAAATGAGGTGGCCTATATTCTTAAAGCAGAGCTATTTTCCTTTAAGGTAATGTTTTCCAAGACAGAAGAGATCATTAGATCACCTTGCACGGTAATAGATTGGTTTGAATACTTGCATAAGTGTGTGCATTCTGTAATGAGGTCATTTTTTATAACTTGATCATAATAAGCTCTTCAGCTACAAAGTTTTTTTTCTCCAGCCTTCTGTTACCCCTGTTTTTTACATAGCCTTAATCAAAGCAAGTATCTGTAAATATAGACACAGCATTTGTCCACTACTCTACACAGGAAAAACTCACCTTCAAAACCTATTTAGTCTTAAGTAGAAACTGAAGCACCTGAGATTTGTCCCTCAGTTCTTTAGTCTTAGTTTACCATTGTCTCCCAAAACTTACACTGCTCAAGGAGCCATGCTCTGATTATCAGGATCAAGTACTTATCCCTTAGTGAAGGAAATTACATGAAATACTGAAGAAAGTGAAAAAGAAAGAAAGAAAATAGACTATTACCCTGGTAAAATGATGACAGTGCATGGGAAGGATTGACATGAAAGAGCAAAAAAAGGTAGCTTTCTTAGAAGTTAAACAGTCACGAGAAAAGCTATTTTTGCTGCCATTTGGGAAAGAGACTTCTGAATTTAAAGAATACTGCAATAATCTAGTTATGCGATTTAAGATGAAATAGAAAGCTAAAGTATATGTTGTCACTTTTTTCTTTAATGAAATGCTATGCTTAAATGTCTTCATTTGAAAATAATCTGTATGTGGGTTTTTTTTAAAAATAGCATCAATTTGGTAGTTAGAAAAAAAAAGTTCACAGCGTGCTTATGGCTGACTGAATCTGGAGGTTAGCTGAAATGTTATGCCTGCTTGTAAGTCCAGTAATGCTGTTGAATGTAGTCTCCACAAGAACAATGCAATTCATATGTTTAGTCTTCTTTGATTCCAGAGGTTAAAGAAAATTTACTGGTGTACAGAACAGTTTGTGAAAAGAAATTGAGAATAAAATCGCATGTTATTATTTATTAAGACAAACATAAAATTCTGTTTCCTCACATATATAAAGAATTAAATAATTTGAGATGGTTTATTTCACCATAATCCCAGACTTCTTTTGGCTTTCAGACTTCTCTCTGTGTTGTTTCTCAGGATCACACTGTTCATGTCCCTGTCCTGCTACCTTTATCTCCTTTTGTCATATTTTTCCAGCTTCACTTCACTGCCTGTACTTTATTACACATATTTGTTCAGGGTAATGATTGTCCAGTTTTGGTGGAATCTGCTATTATTGTAGCTACCTGATTCCACAAAGCAGCCCAACGGCTTTTTACAACTATCTTAATTATGGGCAACTTTAAAAGATTTAATCCAAACTATAACTTCATGAACAACCCCTGCAAGCAATTTTCACAAATAACTATATTTCTGCCTTAGTGTGCTATTCTGAGGCATCACAATTTTACCTTCAAAAAGGAGGTCCCACATGCATTTCTGCATGGGCAAACCACAAACTGAGTGGGAGATTTACTTAGGCCATAATACACCAAATAGCCACATCAGTACAACTGGCCACAATTCATCCAGTTTATTACTAACTCCTAGTGACTCTTGTTTCCAGAAGCCCTGAGAAAATACAAAAGGAATAGGCACCTACTGCACATGAACAACGCAGCTGACCTGCAGTACTGCATAATAAATCCAATGCTTTAATGAGATCACGCCCCTCATCTAATACATGTAAAGCCAGCTGACCAGCCAGTCTAGGAAGGGCAGCTCTAGGCCATGCTCAGACCACTTGCTTGGCACAACACCAGAGCAAAGGAGTAATCCAGCTCAAGCAATCCTCGCTTGAATTGCTGACAGGATTTCCTACCACCTTCATTTACACCTCTTGAAAGATTGTTTAGTTGAGACATTTTAAAGGACAATTGGCAACATATCACTTCCATCTGTAAATTAGTTGTTTGAGCATGACAGAAATTCATATTGAAGAAAAGTCACCATTAAACTATCAGTGAACATGTCTGAATCAGATGTAAAAGTAAGGCATAGATGCCAAAAACTGAGAGTCAGATGAATTTTCTCAACCAAGCAGCAGTACCACAGACCCATGAGAAGTTGAGCTGAGCTTCCATTGCAATTTACCACGGAGTATTTACAGTGTGGAAATACAAAGAATATGGCTGTAGAACAAGGCATACAGGACTTTTCTGAGCAGTAATTTCTCAGAGAAACTGATCTTGAGGCAATTACTCTTTCTCAATTACTTTAAATTAAAATTATTTTCTGTGTAATGCTATTTAGGTCACCTGAGTATATTAAAACAGTCAAAGATTTACAGTCAGATATAACTACATCAAACTTTCCAAGGGATTTCCAGCTGTTCTCTGGAATCAATGCATAGCATAAGGATAGCTGACTGGAGTTTTGTACATGATAGCATTTTTTATACATGTTTGCATTTAAAATGCAGTCTATATAAAATACAGGCATTTCAGATTTAACTTGCATGCTATTTCACAAGGGAAGAAGCCCAGAAGTTCCAGTTATCTGATGTCTGGACATTGAAATCTGAAACAGTTTATTGCTTTAATTCCAGACTAACGTGTTCCATAGTCAAAACCAGGAAGGGACATTGTCTAATTTTTTAGTTTAAAGTTTGTTCTTTTGCTTATGGGCCCAGTATTGAGCTTTACCAAGTGTTTTCAGTTCCTTTAGCCATGGTGGAAAGTGGCGATGTGCATCCTTTTGTGGGTGCCAGCCTAATGATTACTTTATAGTAGAACAGGGTCTTACTCCTGGGTGGCCCTTGGTTTAGCTTCATTTTGGCAGTGATCCAGAATATTTTCCAGAATCGGTATAGGTGTGGTTGGAACAGTTATCCTTCTCCATTTGCTGCACAAAGCTAGCAAAAGCACGGTCGCTGTGATTAAGATGAGAGACTACAAGAAGGATATAGTGGCTCCTCTACTCTCCAAGATATGCGCACAGTGTTGATAAAAATAAATCTTGCATATCTTGTATGTTCATGTTTCCTTGCTATCCCTCCCCATCACTCTGATGCTGTCACTCAGTGGCATGCTGTCTCTCACACTGTCTCCAAGATGGCGGAAGAATCTCTTGGTATGCCTCAGACTCTAGGAAGATCTCTTACTTTTCCACAGGTCCTTGCAAGTGGCTAAAGCTGTTTTCAAGATGTTGATACATTTTCAGGATGTCAAGACTTTTTTTTTCTCTTTTGAGGGCTTGGTTCCTTGTCTTTGTCAAATCCCAATCTCAAGAAGAATCTTCTGTGTGATGATGAAGAATTTTTTTATTTAGAAAAATAAAATATTGGTATGTGGATTTTAGATACATCATTGTATCACAGATGCCTAACAGGTCCTAGACTTGGGGAAAAAATGAAATTCTTCCCTTCCTCTTAAAGCAATTTCTATTGAAACTCAAACTCCATGAGGTAAGGCAAACAAAGTGTAGAGCATCATAAAATACGGCCATAAGGCTTTTTGTGTTATGCCCATTGTGCTTGTCTTTTCCTTGTTATTGTCCCATCATTCAAACAGCCTCATGAGAGCTGCCAAGCTTGTACTAATACCCCCAACGCAACAAACTCTTGTCGTGAAGATCTTTCCCATGTTCCATTGTGTCCATTCTTCTTATCAAGATAGCACAATTTAGGTGCTACTGCTCTGTTTCAACAAGCAATGCCCATGGATTCAGAAAACAACTACCTTCTTCCAGACTTCTGTGTCAAAAGGCAAACAGAGGGGTTAGTATCATCACCGTAAGAACAACAGCAACTGTGTTGGGCAAGAAGAAGGAGGTGGTCAAGAAACAGACAAGGAAACACAAGGATTTTAGGTCCATTCCTGGGAGAAATGAGGCTGCAGCACTCCCCACTGCAGTTTGTTTCCCTCACCACCCTCAGCGCGAGGAGCTGTCACCTTTCCAAGACACAGAATCTGTCCTTTTATATTTAGCAGAGGCTGTGAAATCACACTTCAGCAGTAATATGTTTAATACAAGCACAATAAACTGGTAACTGAACAGATAACAAGGTTAGATGGACAACACTGGTCTCCATATTGCATTGTATTTTATCAAGTGCATTACCACAGGCAGAGGCCTTTGTCAAAACAGGCCTTATATGAAGAGCTTTCAAAACAAAATATCCGAACCAGATCACCACAAAGGTGTATCTGTTTTTCTTTTTAACTGTTTCCACAGACAGCATCATCCAGAAGTTTGCCAGGGGAAGGCTGACGATGGTCTTGCATGGAGCACAGACATCAGGTAACCGGGAAGGGGGGCAGGGGTAGGATGCAGCTCCTGGTGGATTTGTGTGTGTGCGTAATGAGACACTTGCCAGCTCTTCATGAACGAATGATGTGTTCGGGGAGCTCACTTCAAACAACTGTCTCAGATGCTGAAAGAATTACATAGATTTTATAAAACCAAATTTGCAGTAAGTCTCAGAAAGAGCTGTCTAGGTGCCTATCTCGTATTGAAATCTTTAAAGCATAACAACAGTTGCATACGTTGCCATATTTACCAGTTATCGCCGATTTCTAAATCCACCGCTGTCGGCCGGAGTCCGGCACCGGCCGTGAGCGGAAGCAGGGCTGGGGTGGGGCGAGGGGCGAGGGCC